AATTTGGTTTATTAGATTCATCATATTAAGACTTATTAAATAGTAGTATTTTTATATTTCTGAGATTGATAAATAGCAAGATATATGAGTTTAAAATTTTAAATTTTTTTATAATAATTTATTATTAAAAAATCACTAGTTAATTATATTTTTTTTTTTAATTTTTACTTAGAAATATCATAAAATTTATTATAAAAAAAATTAATTTTTTAATAATATATTTTAAAATATTTAAAAATAATTAAAAAGAATTGTAATTAATAAATAAAATTGCCTACAAATTTGTAGGCAAAACAATTGAAGAGATAATACTTAATTTAAAAGATATATAATTATTTAAGATATTTATTTTCAGAAGTATATAACATATAATATAGAAGATTTTAGAAAAATCAGAATTTTTTAACTAAAATTAAAATCTTTAATCCAATAATATCAAAAACTAAAATGTAATAAAAATTAGTTTTTATTAAAATATTTTTAGAATCTGATTATTTTAGCAATTTATATATATTTATATATTTATTTATTTATATAATAAATAATTATTTTCTAAAAATATATTTAAATATTAATAAATTTATCTTAATTATCTTTTAGATTATTTATTTTAAAATATACTTTAAATTATAATATATTTTAAAAAAGCTTTTTTATAAATTTATTATTATTTTAATTTTTTAAATCTTATAAAATTATTTTAAAGTCAAAATTTAATTAATATAATAAAAAAAATTTGGAAAAATTTTGAAGTTAATTAATTATTATTATAATTTAATAATTTAATATAAAGATTTTAAATTATATTTTTATTTTTATTAGAATATAAAGTTAAAGTTATTTAATAATTATAACAGAACATCTAATAATATTTAAATATTATAATTAGTTTATAATATAAATCATATTTCAGAACTTATTTAATATAATACCTATTAACTAAAGTTAAGTAAGGTTAAATGAATCTAAAAAAATATTATTAACTATATATTTAAAATTTGTAATTTTAAATTAATAAATTAATATAAAGTTTGATCAAGATTATTATATGTATAATTATATCAAAATCATATTTTTTAATAAACTTTTAAATATTTATTTTATATCTTATTTTTATTAATTACTTATTATATAGTTTACTTATGATTAATATAAACTTTTTTTTTAAAAAAAAAATATAAATTGTATAAAAATTATCAAAGAATAAAAAATAAAACTGATATTATTTACATTAAATTTTTAAAAAAATATGTTAATTATATAAAGACAAGGTGAATAATTAATTATGAAATCTTATAACATCGAAAACTAGAATGCAATACAAATTATATATTAACTTTATGAATTTTAAGGATTCTTGATTAATATTCCGAGTTCGTAATGTATTTGACGTTTTACTATAAATTTGAATGTTTTATAATATAAATAAAACATTAAATTATTATAAATTTATTTGTTAGGTTGCCTATTAAGAATTTAAAGAAGAAAACTCATAAAAACTATGTTGCGGAATTTGAAATCCAATCACGTATACTGTATCTGTGTCACTTATATTTACATGTGAAACAAATACAAATTATTTTTGGCGGCAAATTTTTTAAGAAAAGTTGCAGAATCAAATCATGATATACGAGAATCATTCTAGACGCATGCTAAAAAAAAGTGTCGGATAAACATTCTTATACAGTAATTAATTAAGCACCGGTTGATATTTTTTCAAAGCAAATTTTCTTGATAAAATTATATGAATCAGATCACGTAATATTTATAATTCAATTTGACGTATTTTTTTTTCCTCTTCTTAAACTTTTATGAATTCTTGACACACGATAATAAGTTTTTTTTTTATGAAATTTTATTCTTTTTGTGTGTTGCAAACTATTAATCAATTGCAAACTTTGATGACGTACTTTTTATAATTTATTGATATATGGTTTATATGGTTTTAAATTCTTTTCATTCATTTCTTTTTGGTTTGTGAAAAGCTTAAATTAAAGAAAATTTTCAACTGCATTTTCACATACATGATTTTCCCATTCCATCACCCAAAATTTGTTTCTTCTTTTAAAAAGAAAAAACATGACTCGTACAAATTGGAAGAGACGAAACGGAACAATGGTCAGTTATTTGGAATAACAATAGAAGGTTATTATTATTTTTTTTTTTTTTAAGGAAAAAAAAAACTATTAAAACGTGAACTCTTTTGTCACATTCAATTTCCTCTTAATCTTTATTTGTATGATATATCTATAATGATTTGATGCAATTAAATTATGCTAAAAAAATTTTTTTTTTAGATAAGAAATTTGATTTTTCGGAAAACGAGTCCATAGGAGAGGCAGAGTCGATCGTTAAGTTTATAGATTTTGCACAAGAACATATCCCATTGTCTTTAGACGATAATGACATGTTTATTCATGATCCTTCTATAATAAATGAAATATTATCACCACCACCAGCCGAAGAGATGACGATCTCCACTTTGTTTTTTTCATTGATTCAATCTATTACAAATAACATGCCAAACTTGCCAAGCGATCATATAAATGAAATTGTTGAGGTGGATTTTCCAAAAGAATTATCAGTTTCAACATTTTATCAACTTCTTAGTCAAATGACATTACTTGGTTCTGCAATTTTTCATAAATGTACAATTGTACGATTATTAAGTTTTACTGATTGGAATAGAAAATATTCATTTGCCGACAATAAACCAATTTTGATCTCATCTTTTGACGAAGAGAAAGAATTAAATGAACTTTTAAAAGAACAATTTATTAATGATGAAGGTGAACCGAAAACTTATGAAACATCTTTAGGGCAACAAACAAATTCGATGACATTAGAAATTGTCGTACAACAACAATATTTAACACCACAAAGCGAATTATTTTCAAAGATATTTCATTATCTTTCAACGACGATATGTCTTCGTCCAATACCTTGTGGAAGACATGTAACAAGAATCATTATTCCTATACCTTCAACTTCCACGATTGAACCGATTTTAACTTGGTTGTATAGTCATGATGATAAAGCATGGATGGATACTATAACATCCAAAAATTTTGAGCAAGTGAGTCACATATAATACGATTCACGAGGAATTGAATTTTTTATTTTATTCGGGAAATTAATTTACCTTATTTAGGTATGCCGGAACGCAATATTTCTTGGGTTAAATGATGAGGCATTCGCTGTATTGGAAAGAGTTTTTCAACAGCTGATAGCAGACAATAAATATTTTACGTGAATTTTAAAATAGAATTCCAATATCCTTTAAAGTTTTTTTAATGTACTTATAATAATAAGTTTTGATGTTTAATTTAATTTTAATCTAACAAGGAATCATGAACCGAAAAGGGTAGAGATAATGATTGAGAGAAAGAAATGAAATTGCGTTCAATAGCTTTATGTTTTGTAGTCTTGGCAATTATGGATATGAAATAAATATATATATTTGAAATTATATTTAGAATGAATTTTCAAATCATTTGTAATGTAATAACATTCAAGAACGATTTTTTTTTTTTTTTTTTTTTAAACCAATGTTTTTTTTTATCATTTATAACAATACATATAAATAAAATCGTAACTTTCTAATTTCTCTCAACACCTCCATTAGCAGCAGCCTTACGATTATCTTCAAGATCCTTAGGGGTAACGTAAGTTGACATCCTACCAACGATTTTTAACTTCATTATGTGAATAAGTTTACTAGGAGGGGGCAAGGCAATAGATAGAGAAATACACGTTCTTAATATGGAATCAAAAGCATTACCGATCGGATTATAGTTTAATTCTTCGGTAAAAACAAAAGTAATCAAATAAAGTGTCAAGTAACTTATTGATAATACACCAGTTACGCTCATATACCATGTACCCACTGCCGCCGATTGTGCACTTATATTATTTCTCAATTTGGTCATTGATGACGGATGTTTAGTATTGTTTAAATGTAACGCTATTACAGGTAAAAATGCATAAAGGAATGAACATGTTGTTGTTATAACTCCTAATAGCAACTATAAGAAAAAAGAAAAAATACATAATATTAGTTTAATACTTTTTATACGTTAAAAAAACAAAATTAATCAATAGAATATACATACCTGAGCAATAAATAAAGGAAAATATGATAAATTACGTTGTTGCCAAAAGATTAAAACAATATCGGCAATATTTACACAATCAAAAATAATCAATTCGATTATTGTGATCTTAAAAAGAGTAGTATTCCAACGATATTTTTCATAAAATTTTCTACCCATATCTAACATACACACAACTAAAACGGTTGTGTATATGTCCCGGATCGCGGCAAATAATATCCAATATGCTTTCCTCGGTATAAACCATTTGATTGAATCTTGTGCCCAATAGAAATTACTTAAACTCATTATAATTATTGTCGATATTGATAACAAACTGGAGAATTTATGAATGGGAAAGTGTAACCTTTTGTTAGTAATAAATTCAACTTTTCTTGAATTAAATAATTTTTAAAGAAAAAAATTGCTTACCAAGCAAGTCGTAACCTTGTAAAACTTTTAATACATTGGTATAATAAAAATAAAAATGCTATAATTGAAAATGCAATACTAAATGTTAAAAAACCAATTTCTATTGTTATATCCATTATTAAATTATTAATTCTTAATTTTTCTTTTAATGAAAAAAAAAAGAGAGAAAGGAATTATTGCAGGGAAAAAAATAAAAGTGAAAAGCGTATATATGATGGATTCTTAAATCTTTGTAAAAACTAGGAATGGTTTAGTTTTTTAAAAGAATGGTGTTTCTTATTTTTATATATTTATTATTTTATTTTATTTATTTATTTATTTTATTTTTGTTGCTAATCAGGGTTGCGCCTCTTGTAGGTCTAATTTATGAATCCAGTTAAGTTCAATGCCAATCCTATATTGTAAAAGAAAAAATTTTATATTATGTTAGTTATGTAAATATCATATTTAGAATTTGCGCGTTTTATCGCGTAAGAATCTGTGCACAACGCCGAAACTTTAAATTCGCTAAAAAAAAAAAAAAAAAAAAAATCCCTTTACTATATATATAATGGTGGAGCACTTTTTAAAGCTCTAGAAATATAGAAATATCAAAGGATTCTTATTTTTAAGGCAAAAAGGTTGAAATGAATTTCTAATCCCTTCGAGATTCTATGATAATTTTTTTTTTTTAGATCTTAAATCTATTAAAGTTCCAATCATTCTCAGAATGTCAAATAAAGCACTAAATAACCAAAGGAACCAAAATTCTCTCTCCAAAGTTAATTTCTCGAAATTTCCTTTCAGAAAATCAATAGGCAACTTACTTTTTGAATCTTCGCATAAAAAAAAAAGAGTTTTTCAAGAAAGAACTCCAAAAGGCAAAAAATTATATAGCTAAACTAATTTACTTATATATATAATATCATGATATAAATTAAAGCATTCACGAATAATAAAAAACAAATTCGAGAAAGCTAAATTATGCGTTAAATGTAATACAAAGTAAAATTTCCTGATTTGTTCTTTTAAATCACCAATTATATTGTGCTACTTTGAAGCACCAATCCAAGGATTTTAAATGTGTTAATGAAAAATTGAAACGAAGTTCTTTGTAACAAACTTTATTTGCTGCGCCATCACCGCTAATGGGATCACCCAGACCCTTTTTTCTTACAAGTTCCCGGTAAAAATTCTCTTTCAACCTTCCTTATCATTGCATCATAATACATCTTTGCGTAGTAACTGTATATAGAGAAATATTCTATGCGCTTTTTTTTTTTTTTTTTTTGATTTATACACGTGGCTTGTTTATTTGTTTGTTCATTCTAAAATAACAAGTGGGAATATTTTTTCAATGTGATTTATATATCAATGGAAAAGGTTATCTTAATTGATAAGGTTCAAACTTTTCGGTTCTCCATTTCCTCCGATTCGGAGCATTGATAAAATTTCCTTTTTTTTCTGAAAAATCAAAACTTTTAGGTTTCGATAAATCTGTCCTGCCTATAATAAATTCTTTGATTAATTTAGCAATTTAATTAATTTAATTAATTTTAAAACTTTCTAACCTCTTTAAGCTCTTTATAAATGCAAAAATGTATTGGCTCTTATCTAAATCCGATGGGAATAATATTTATGCGTTTATTACAACCATACGTGCGTTGCGTTGAAAATTATCAATGCAAAAGTTTTTGCTGATCAACTCGGTAAAATAAGCTCTGTATAGAAACTAATGTTGCATCAATGCCCTGAGCATCCGAACAACTTACGAATCTAATTTACAGTCAGAACTCCGCGGTAAACCGATTTTGGCCCATAACGAACTTATTCTTAAACCAAAACCACTTATAATAAAATTTATCACTATATAGCGATTTTATTATAAATTTCGCGATATTGCATATACCGAACTCCCGATAACGATTTTTTTCTCGTTATACCGATGGTCGTTATAAAAAAATGTATTTTTTTCTTGATTTAACGAATTTCACTTTTTTTTTAATATAGTAAATATCAAATTTTAAATAAATTAATATAAATATAAATTCGAAGATTTTATTTCTTTATTGATCATCTTTTACCATGTCATCTGAAAAAAAAGTAATACATTGTCTATGGGACAAAAGCAAGAACTTTGTCTCAAAAAAATAAACAATCAGAATCTTCAATCCCAATTATATAAATGAGTTTATTAGTTTCGATTAGATTTTTTTTTTGTTCTCAAATTTTACAAATAAGAAATAGTATAGCATACAACATGCAAATAATAAATAATAATCAAATAATAACTACACTACATTTATTGTAAAAATTTGATATAACGAACTTTTATTTTTTTTATTATTTAAATCGATATATCAAGAAAAACTCGTTATTCCGAATCCTCATTATAACGAATCAAAATCATCAAACCAACAGGTTCGTTATATCGAGTTCTGACTGTATTCATAATAAGAAAGTGGTGGGAATAATTCAAATAATCAATTAATGTGTTAAATATCATCACTCTAACCATTTTTTTAATTTCGTTATCAAAGTATTTATTAATGGTCCCATAACTTTGTATAAAAATTTTAATTATCTAAAGAATATCAATAAAGTTTAATTTAAAAGAATACATTGGTCTTGGTATTTAATATATAGTGGATTTGATTAGAGTAATACAGAAACAAAGATTGAAATATTCGAAAATATTATGTTCGAATAAATTTTTTTAAAATCTTCATCATATACTATTATATAACCCCTCAAATATGACAAATTTGATATTCGACAAACGGGTATTCGAACATTCGAGTAAAAATTTTACCGGGTTTCAATTATATTTTTCTCTATAAAAGTACTTTCGATTTATTTATTGTAGCTTAATATATACATTATTTTGTAGCTTATTTCTCTAATTTCAAAAATCCGTAATTGTTTTTATTAAGAACGGTTTAGGTTAGTAGGGTTTCGATCCTTAATCCGGATTTTAATCCGGATTAAAAATTAAGGATAAGGATTACAATTTGGATTAAAAATAAGGAATTAAATTTTTTAATCCGGATTTTAATCCGGATTTTAAATAACAAGGGAATGAATCCTTATTGCAATTTTTTATAATAATTTTTTTATTATTATTATAGATGATTAACGAAGAACTTACAGTATAAAATTCTTTCATTTAAATTAATTATTCAAATACAAGGTTTAGAGTATAGAATCATCATTAATACAATAAATATAAATTTACTACACTATTTCTAGTTCGTTGTCTTCTAAATTGTTCCAGTCAGGTGCAAATCTTCATGTTAAGTTTTAAAAACAGCATTTTAGTCACTAATGCAGGATCAAGACGATTTTTAAAAGGAAAAATGAGGTGTCCGGTATTTGAAAATAGGTTTTCACTTGCTACAGAAGCAGCAGGTATAGCCAAATATTTTCGAGCAAGTTGAGAAAGAATTGGAAAATTTTGTACACCATTCTAATGGATTTTTTCACTTCCAAGCCATTGGCATTGCTAAATATTTTGATATTTCATTTTCTTTAGAAAGCCTATTTGTTAATCTTCTTTTTTTATCAAGACAATTTTGGTAATATTGCTTATATAAACAAGTGCTTTTATTTACGTTAGAAGAATTGTTGTAGGAGCATTTTTCATTGATTCATACTCATCATAAAGTTTTTGTATAATGTGAATTTTTTCATCAATTTCTAAATAATTTAGATTTTGTAATGCAAATCTAATAGTGAGGCTAAATAACTGGCATCATTTGAAATATCCCAATAATAAACTAGAGAAACGGAAACTGTTTAAGTCTATTGCATTTTAATGTTATACAAACTTTTTGGTTTTCATAGTGTCGATCAATCAATTTATTAGAATATTATAGTATATGTTATTTGTTTAACTTTTGTATTAATATAAATATAAATAAATAAAATTTGTATCATTTTTGTAAATTTTATTTTATTATATATATATCTGTTATAAATCATTATTATAATAAAATTTTTTTTTTAACGATTATAATAATACAAAATTGTTTCGATATTAAAATACATTTCGTTTATAATACCAAAAGCAGTAGATCGTTAACTTGCATTTACAAGTATCTTTGTCATTTTAATATAAAAGTCACGTGATATCAAAGAATGTTTCTCAGTTAGCGACTTGAATCACTTTTTTTTTGTTAAATGTGTTAAATTATGAACATTTCTTTTATTTGCGTACATTTTTTAAATATTCTTTCATATTTAATATTTCATTTAATTCATTTAATAAAGTTTACAATTTAATAATGTCTATATCTAATTATAATATGGTAAGATAGCTGATAATGCTTAATGCTTCTGATTGCATTTCTTTTTCTTATCTTTAAAATTAATAATGTAAAACATGCTTTATATACATAATTCATAAAACAAATTTTTGCGAATTCACTCAAAAAGAATGATAAAGAAAATAAGACACCACATTCACGTGATATAGACAAGAAGCGAAAGTGGCTAAAGAGGCTCATGAGACGCATTTAGCATATGATCAAAATAAGAAAAATAATAAGTGACGTAAAGTAGCTGAAGAGATTTATGAAGAACTTGAAGCGCGTTTGATAGCTGAAGAGAAGGCTCAGCGTGCTCATGTACATAAAAAATATTTATTAAAAAAGTCTAGAGAAACTTTCCAACAATACATCACAAAACTTTCTAAGAATAGAACAACTCTACGCTAAAGACGTGATATAGAAGGTGTTCCAACTTCATATCAGAAACTTCTATACAAATTTTGCAATATAATTAGTAATTTGAGGAATAATCTTTGTATCATATATAATGAGTAATTTCTATCTATTATACTTGCTGATGAAGAATACCGTTGATGTTGTAAAGAAATAGGCCTAAAAGATTTTCTATTGAAAACAATATAGATCCAGATGAAAGTAAAACATTTTTTCTTAATATATACTTGAACTTGATAGACTCACGTGTTTTCACTTTTTTCTAGGTAAAGTTCTACAAAAACTTTAGGACTTTGAATGAGGTCTGTAAAATGACATTTTTTTTGTAAATATATAAAAATATGAGAGAACTTTAATTTATATAAATCCTAAAAAAGCATGTAATTTTGATCAAGATCTTATTTTACAAAAATATAAGAAAAAATGTATCACAACTAATAAGAAGAATCTGACTTTATAGATGCTAGCTCTTTTTTCCGCTATATATATTTGCAACTTCATATCTTCAATCTTATTGCATAATTTATTATTTGTACTAATCTACTTCTTAACATAATATTATTGTGAAAGTTTTAGGATGAAGTCACTAACCTCCAATGATCTTGTGTATCTTATTCACTTGTAAAATCTATATCAATTTTTATTATATTAGAAAAGCTTCTAAAAACTCTAAAATCTTAATTTCTATATTATTTTAGAAAAGCTTCTAGCCAGTTTAGAAGATTAATTTCTATATTGATTTTTTTATTAGAAAATTTTATTTATAAAGAACTTAAAAAGAAGTTAGAAGCAAACAAAACAGCATATGTAAGAAAGAGCTCATTTACACTTAAAAGTATCTATACTATAAAGAAAGTAGTTAGAAAGGTAATACTAAACAAAGTATTAAGCAAACTTATCAGGCATTACTCTGTCTATAAAAAGGCTGATCATACAAAGGTTAATTATTCTAAAGGCAAGCAAACTAAAAAAGTTAATTATATATACTAAGATGAAATAGAATATCCTAAAGACTTTGAAGAATACATAGTAGAAGAGGAAGAGTATCCTGAAAAAGAGAAAATTGAAGATGATGATGAATATGATGATGATAATATTGATGATAAATCCTGAAATTGCTATGCTGTAAAAAAAAAGTGAAGCGAAGTGAAGTATCTATGAAAAAAAAAGAGCAACCAAGAAGTCCCTTACTTCTAAATCTCATGCTGAAAATACCAAAGTATCGAGCAATATAATTAGTCATAAGGCACTTTGCATAGCTATAGATCAAATGTATCAAATAACCTTAAAATTTATAATATCATCAGTAGTCCCCCATTATCCTAAAGAGATTCTTATAGAAATTTTGAAATTTATTAATACAATATACCTCAAAATAAAAGACCATTGCTTGAATATTGTTATATCAGATAACATAGTTAAAAGAAAAGAATTAGCATAAAAGAATGTTACAAAAAAAGTATAAGAGGTCTTGCTTCCGCTATTACAAATAGTAAATACCAAGCAGAAGCCTCTTTTACAAGTTCTGTCTCCTTCTTAGATTACATTTGTTCAGAAAGAGCAGATTCTTAAGGGACTGCACCAAGCTGAAAGAATGGCAAATAATATTATGAAAATAGAAATATTGCCAGATAATAATCATTCAGAAAGCGGGCATACTTTGAATCATGCTATTAAGGCATATGTGCAATATCATTCAGTTGGAAAAAAAAATAGTCAAATATATTGGCCTAAGCCTTTAGAAATAAATTTTTTACAAATAAAGGATGCTGATGATGTTGCGACTATTTATTATAAAATAGGAGATTTGGTAATACTATATGCAATGATTGATACAGGTTCAGATTCTTCTATATTTCAGATAATATTGCTAAACTTGTCGAAGAGCTTTTAGGTATTAAAATTAATAGGAAAAAAATTCATAGGCTTAATGGGGTTGCAAGTCAATCTATATCAATTGTCACTATAGAGAATATTTCCATAACAATTAGTTTAGGAGAAAATAATACTACTATTATGGATGAAGTTTTTGTTATACCTGCAGAAAAGGATCAGAATAAAAATGCTAAATCTTTAGTAATTCTTAGTACTCAATGGCAATATTGAGTTAGATGAGAGCCTTTAATAAAAGAAGAATTTAAGACTACATGTAATGGAAAGTCTATTACTATCCTCCTATTAGTTCACAAATTCTAGCGTAATGTTTTTACTATAAGAAAGAAGAAATCTGTAAAAAATAATAGTTGATCAGACATGTATATATTGTGATAAAGAATTCTGTTATCCTTCAATTCTTAAAAAACATTTAAAGTTAAAAAATATATATAGTAAACAAATAACAAGTAATTGAATTAGCTCAACAAGTGATCAGATTAGTCTAACAAGTGATCAGGTTAACCTAACAACTGATCAGATTAGTGAAAAAAATATGATATCTATTCGGCTAACATTAGCTTAAAAGTTATACTTTTTTGCATTTATGACGTTTAATCTACAAGGATATTTAAAATCATACTTACAAGTTTTATAATAGCGGTCAAATATATTATCTAGTCCTTCATCTGCTATAAAATATTCTTCATCATCAAATAATTTATTATTTTAGTCACTTGATTCAGTCTTATTTTTACTAGACTTAGATGGACTAAGTCTTATAATCTCATTTTTAAAATTGATAACTTGCTGTTTTAATGAGATTATTTCATCCTGTATTTCTGTAATTTTTTACATATATGGGGTCTTTGCAATAGAAAGGGAGGAAACTCAAAAAAAAATAAAAAATGAGTTAATAATAAATCTGAACAAATTATAGTATTTGGAACATTTTTGGCTTATAAACTAAAATTTTAATTTTTTTGGAGTTTCCTCCCTTTCTATTGCAAAGGCCCCATATGTATTCTCATATTACAAATCTACAACTTGACATTATAATCTATGATTTTCTGATTTCATAATAGAAAAGGTTTATATAAAATAGGTAATAGTTCAAATATTTTTTTTGATGAATATGGAAAAAAAAGGAGTCAAACTGAAATAAACTTAAATGATCAGACACATATCCAGAAAGTATATCTTTTTCAAATACTTATATCATTCTTTGCTTTTCCCTGCTTTCCAGTTCATAATTCAGTGTCATGATAGGAAAAATATGAATTTAGTTCTATTATTACATCTCTTCCAATATGAGGGTTATAAGAAATAAACTTATCATTGAGAGTAATAATCTTTAAGTCCTTAGCAAAGATAATATTCTCTAAATCTTTACATACAGACTCAGCGGTCTTCTTTATATTCTGTTTTTTATTCTTAAGCTAAGAAATAGTAGAGAATAACTTGCTGATCTCCTTATCTTTTACTGTATTAGCTTTATCCAAAGCAGAGATATGAGATTTATATTGCTTTTCTAATTCAACTGAGCATGAATTATGCTAGAATTTCAATTGATGTTTAAATGAATATGTCTTTTGTTTCATATCTACTATGCAATTATTATATTCACTCTCTAGACAAGACTTAAAAGCATCATATTTATCTTTTAAATGTTTATGTTCCTTAGCAACCTGAGCCTCAATAGTTTCTTAATATTATTCTCCCGTTGCTGTACATGAAGCTCACATTTCTCTAACTATTTTTCAAATCTATCTAACTAAGATAATGTACTAGAACTATTAGAAGAGGTATTAGCTTTAATCTTAATTTTCTAACGATTTTTTTTATTATGATATCTATTAATCTCCTTAGTAAGCAACTCCTCAATGTTCAGATGGATACTCCTAACTAAGAATTCCAAGAAATCCATATTATCCTAGAAGTTTGGGTATTCCATATATTTTCAGCAAAACTTTTCGCCTAGAATTATCTAAAAAAATTTGCTGAGATTTAGATTCTGGAAAAAAATACCAGGAAAATGTCAAGAAATTTGTGCTACATCAGTTTCCTACCAGTTCTATGACACTATCCTAGCACTATTATGACGCTAAGTGGTTTCTAGATCATGGGATGATCGGCTAATTTTATTTTGATGATTTCATAACAGCAAGGATTTTTTCTATCCCCTGTATCTGTGTCTTCATTTTGTTAATCTCCTGGCACAATTGATTATTTTTCTTAATTCGTTTCTCATAATCCCTAGTTAGATTTTGCATAAATCAGCCAAAGGTTTCTTTATTATATTTAAGCAGTTGCTTTTGCAGAATAATAAGTTCATATTTAGCCTGATCATTAATTTTCTCCCTATGATCACATGATTTGTTTTCTGTTTTAGATCTATTATCAGGTACCAGGCATTCCAGCCAACTTTGAGAACATGGTTTTTTTCAATCCATAGTTTTGCAACTTCAGTCTTTTTTCAGCCAAAAGATTTCAAAAGATGTAGGCTAACCCAATTTGAAGTCAGAAAAAAAATATACTAAAATTGAGAATAATATAGAAATTAGATATTAGATAAAATGCTTATTGCATTAATTAATATCATATTTAATTTGCCCTAAAAAATCAATATCCTCTATTTGGATTGCTTTATCCAAAGAATCTGTTTGAATTGCTTTATCAGAAAAACTACTATCCTCTATTTGCATTTCAGTATCTATACTATAAACAAAAGCCCTTCAATTTTTTGCTTGTTCATAAATAATTATTTTATTATGCAAATATTGCTCAATCTGATCACTTTTTTCTGTAATGTCTTTTGGCAAAACGGGATTGCGCTTTATTTTAAGTAATTGATCAGAAGTTTTTTTTGATTAGACTTGGTAGTATTTTATCTATAATAAGTTTATAATCAGGATGAAAAGTAGGTATTTCTGCATATAAGTTAATGATCTCTTCGATGTCTGCTATCTAATAACAAATTTACTGCACTTTATCTATATAATGTTCAAGTGTTTGAGCGAAGTATAACACCGATCAGTTTTTGCAAGAAAAGTAAATCTGTGGGTTAGTATGATGAGTATAATAAAGAAACGTATATGGATTATAGTATATAAAATTTATTTTTGGACCAAAGACGAATTATGAATAGTAGTTAGCATCGATAAAAAATACTCATATTACAGCACTCACCCATAAATAAAGCCTAAACTATGAGCAAAACTTTATTGATATTTGAGCATCACTTATTACTACATCATATGACTTGTGACGCTTTCGATTTATCACTGAAAATTAAATGATCAGATTTAAAATACTTCTATACATACTTTTACGTTATATTCAAAATGTCTGAAAAACTCATTTCTGAAAAACTCAAGAAAATAATCCTTTGTTCTTACGAATTGGATAGGAATAAACTTGAAATAACGCATGTTGATAGTGCCTCTATTACTATTAAAGACTTTGAAGAACTCACAACAATACTCCCTTCCTCTTATAAACTCAATCTAGCTGATAACAAAATTATAATAATGCCTGTTAGCGCACAAACTGGTATGCTATTTTTTGTTAGAATGTCAACAAACGTTTCTTTTCCATACTGAATTATGATATAATAAAATAGGTCAAAGAGAATCTTATCTTATTACTAAAGTCGACATATAGTGCTAAAATAACCGTAGACTTGTTGGAATATTCAGAAGTAATCAGGTATGTTTTGTAATAATCACGAGAATTTTTTCTTAATGTCCGCTCTAATATAATGTTCTTTTAAAATATGTTTAACCATAGACATGTTATAATTTACCTCTACCAAATCCTACTGTTCAGGATCCAGATGCTTTCATTTTTCTCACAACAAAGTTTCTCATTATATATATATATTATATAAGTGGTTTACATGTTTATACATTTTTTAACTTTTTTTATTGCAGATGGAATGCATTATCAGTTAATGATCAAAACGAAGCATTTCCCTCATTTGCCCCAAATTTTGTTGTGAAAATATATTCAAATAACGATCTGAGGATTATTATCACTGAAAAATGATAGATTATATGAATACAGATGTTGAAGTAAGTGACTAATTATTTTTTATTTTTATTTTGTTATTGCTATTAATTATTATGGTTATTTTATCTAGGAAGGTATTTTGATTGATTCCCTCAATCAAATTGTAACAGTATATTGAGTTCAAGAAGACAATATAGTTGTGAACCTGCGAAGAAATCCTTGTACTTTTACTTCTCAAATTCTTAATGAATTCATTTTATACTTGCAGGATATTCTTTGAAAGTAAGATAATCAATACTAGGAGGAAGCAAAAAAAATTACTATGAAGCAAAATAATGTTTTCATAAGGTTAACATATAATATATAATGAAAATCAAAATAAAATTTATGTGTATTAAAAAAAATCACATAACTAAAATTTGAAATTGATGCAAATGAATTGTATTAAACCAGTTTTATTTATTTGATGGATAGTTCATACAGAATTTATACAAGCTAAAAAAAATATATATGTCCTTTATTAATTTTCAAATATATTTAACCGAAGGTAAGACGCTATGTATAATCTAGAGACATTTCCTCATACTATCACCTGATACTATTTATATTCCCTTTATACTATTCGATGATTGTTGATTTTCAGTAGAAGCTTCATAAGATGGTGGTTGGATGGGTGAAGTCACTGTGTTATTTCTTCTTCCAGTCAGATTTCTTGTATCACTATTTTTGTTATAAGATAAAGATGGAGCCTGAGATAGATTTCAAGTTAGAGATTCCAAACGTGTTCGACTTCTTTGATTGCTTTGGCTAGATGAACTTTAGCCTAGTAACCATTCAACTTCCTTAATGGAAGATGCAGGGAAGTTCTTCTCCTACTTTATTTGCAGCTGAATATATTCATATTACGGATTCTATCGAATGAATCTTTAAGTCTCTTCTAAAAATGAGTGTAAAACTCATCAAAGTATCTAACACCTGTTTAACTCCTTTGAGCTGTTCGACTTCTATTTATATATTCACATATGAGCTGGTGCAAAAAGATTTGTATCTCACCTAAAAAGGAAAGATTTATGTTAAGAAAAATATTGTACAGCTAAAATAAATAGGTTGAAAAATATATATATTAGAATGGCTTTGAATAAATATTTTCACTATAGTTTTTTGTTTTATTACCCATAGTTTTCTCATAAAACGAAGTGGTGCATCATTAATTGATAATGAAAAGTCAATGATAATTTCCGTTTATAATTATTTTTCGGGGGTTAACTTTAAAACAGAGAATTATCAGAAGATCACATTACGCAAGCGGGTTTCTGATACATTAAATATATCAGAAAGTATAGTTAGAGTGGTTGTAGCAGATTGGAACAAGCGTAGTAATAATACTTTTATACCGCATAAAACCCTTAATTGTAACTCGATAAAAATATTTCAGAAATTTTGTATACAAAAATTTTAAATTCTAACAAAACGGCTAAACAACTTTCTACATATATCTTATGACAGTTTCTTGCTAAAAAAGGATATGAATTTTTAAATGGAAGCTTCTTCGAATACTATACCAGTTAGGCTTTTATTATAGTCAGGAAAAACGTAAAATCTCCTTCATAAATCACCAAATAATATTGCATTTCATAGTCATTATTTTCATTTTTGTTTTGCCAATTTAAAAGGCCAAAATGTTATTTCACGTCATCCAGAAGTTTTTCTTAATGAATCATACTGCCACTTACATCATAATACTCGCAATACATAGGTTCCTTATCATAGTGTTGTTTTGGCACCTAGGCATGGTCTGTTGGTGATAATTTTTAGAGCAATTATTGTATTTCAAAATGGATCTTTCAATAAGCTAAATGGTGAACTTGTTTCTAATTCTGTCCATATTTGGGATCTAACAATTAAACCTCCAAGTAATAGAGAAAGAAAAAGAAATAATGCTGAAGAATAAAATGACATTTCTGATGTTATTAAAGAAGCAAATATTATTCCTAACTAAGTAGATTATCATAGAAATTTTACTGCAGAAATTTTTGAGGACCTTTTTTCAACTCTTTATAAAACTCTTTATGAAAAATATGGATCTGTATGTATTCATATAGATAGGCAAACTATCATAAATAATAGGTTAAAAGTATTCTAACTTCAAATATAAAAAAGTAGGGTTGGATCAGTCCTAGTAAGACTGATCATGGACTGGTTAATTGGACTGGTCCTGCAGTCCTCAGTCTATATACTGAAGACCGGTCTAGGACCAGTTATTATATTGCAATTTACATATATAATATAATGATCTGTGATACATAAAATTTTTATTTATGTAACAATCGCAGATTTTACTTTTAACATTAACTTTAATTATTTAGCGACGGTAAAATGGAAAATCAAGGTTAAATTTTTTTTTTTTTTTTTTTTTAAAAATAATCCTCACGCTTTCTTTTTTTTTTACACATTATTTTATTTTATTAAAGATGATAACGCTACAATTATTCAAGATGAAGAAGATTTTCAGGAAGATGATGAAATAAGAGATGATGATGCTGATTCTGATATTCAAGAGGAATTAATAATATCGTGATCTATTAGGTCAAAACAAAAAGGAATTTCTAAATCAACTGTATGGGAGCATTTTGATCTTAACAATAATCGTTCTACTTGTAAGGGATGCAAAACTGTATTTTTATCATCAACAGGAACTTCTTCTTTAAGAAGACACCTAAATTCTCATAAAATTGTAGCACCTAAGCAACGACAAAGAACCTTACATGATTATCGCAATGATCCACATTCTGAAAATGAACAGCAAGAGCATGACAAATATGTTATTAATTGAATTATATGTGATATGAAACCTTTCAGTGTTGTAGAGTATGAGGAATGGAGACAAATGATTAATAAATTTGATCCTAGATATCGATTTCATAATCGACATACAATTAAAGATCAAATATTAGCATTATTTCAAAGTAAAAGAGAGCAAGAAAAATTAGTAACAAGTAAAATACCGAGAAAAGTAACTTTCACTAGTGATATATGGACCGCATCTAACAATATAGCATTTCTTAGTCTTACAATTCATTATGTTAATGATTCTTAAAAATTAAAAACATTTTTACTTGATATTATTCTAATGACAGTTCGTCATAATGGAATTAATATAACAGATGCTATAATGGAGGTTTTATATGAATTTGAATTAGCAGAAAAAGCATTAGCTTTAACAACAGATAATGCAAGCTCAATGATTACTTGTGGTAATTTTATAGCAGAACAACTTGAAGAAGAATTTAATAATTTAAATTTTTCTCATTATCGATGTGCTGCACATATTTTAAATTTAGCAGTTGCTAAGGGAATTGATATAATTAGTAATTCAATTAAAAAAATACGTGCCTTAATGATTTATATTAAATCTTCACAACCAACTAATGATGAATTAAAAGTATTATGTCAAGTAAAAGGAATCAATTATTTGGCACCTGAATTGGATATTAAAACAA